TCAAAACATCTGATAAGCCTAACTATGTCAGCTAAGAGAGACCATGAGGTTCCGAAATACTGGAGCCAAAGTTGATTGCTCTGATTATATGTAAGAAATCGGTTGCTACCGATAAAGTCCTTATTTTTTCATTTGCGACATGAGACAGAATAGCTCTAATGGCCATACATTCTGCCATCAAAGGAGAACTTACAAAGCCAACTGCCTGTGAATAATGGTGAACCAAGCTTTGTCTTAGGTTTCGCACTAACAAATATTATCTTATATGTATAAAAAATAGTTGTTTTGTCAATTATAAATATAAACTACTAGATAAGTTAAAATTTTTCGTCATAGTAATTAACAAAATTGTAAAATAAAAACTCGCGCATCGCGCGAACCATAATCTAGTGAATAAAGAAAAGAAGTCGAAATTGGTAGAACTTCTTTTGCAATGCGACCTGCAGCTTGATTACTCGATCTTGAGATCCATTGGAATCAAACATCTTCAAATTTCGTACTCCAGAATTGAATTTCTCGAACCCAATTATGCACCTTGAAGTTCTTCTTTTTGTTCTTCACAAGTTTGTGAACATTTTTTCTATTTTTGAAGGAGAAAATAGTTTCTATTTTTTATATAAAAATAAAGAAACAAAAATTTATGAGTAGGAAATGCAACCCTCCTAGAAAAATTAGGAGTGTTGAAAACAATTATATGTAAAACTTTACAACATAAAAATTGTGATGAAAAGATATGATGTTTATAAGAGAAAATGTATCACACAAAAATATAATAATAACTACTCTCTAAGCTATTTTTTTGGATTAGGTGAAAATTACAAAGCGAATAATTATAATGAAAATAATTTTAAAATAAATTTTTTTTTCAACAGCTTAATAAATTTATTTAGCACTATTCAGTTGCCCAATCCGGTTGTGACGAGTGTACAAAAAATACACCAAAATTAACTATTTTGGCAATTCACAAACATGTTGGCCAGTGGCAGACCCATTATTTTTACTTCGGTAAGTATTAAAAAGAAATAAAAAATACACCAAATTTTTATATAGGGGACTTGAACTTGGTTTTACGGTGTGTCATTACCCATACATCTACCAATTATACTAGAGAAACTTCTTGGACTTACATGTATTAGATTACATTTAAGGAGTTTACCTAGGTCAAGTGACCCACCAAAGCCCTTGATGGGTCCGCCACTGATGTCGGTTTTTGAATTTTGAGTGCGTGAATAATAAGCGATTTAGAGAAAATAAATAAAACTTCTCCTTTAGCTTCATTAACTCTTCGAAGTGAATTCCAAACGCCGATCACTCTGTCAGTGTAGATACCATCTTCACCAAATGAGAAAATTTTATTGCGAAGGCTATCTATGTCTTCTGGTTTCTAAGGAGGTATTGCATTGCCCAAACTAGAGTTTCGATCTTTGAATGTAGTGGGGAAAAACTCATTCTCAAATTTCTCATCCCTGTCAGGATCGTTTTATTCTCCTTCTTGAACGCATACCATCCCAAGCCTGAAAAATTATCCGACTCTTTCCAAAATCCATGTGTATAGCATGTCAATCTTGTATACCCCTCAGGCCCCATTGATTGCCCGCCATCGTACGGTGAATGTGTTGGCGTCTTCGATTGATACCAAATC